GCTCCTACTATCGTCGATTCATTAAGAGCTTTGCTACCATAGCAGGGCCGTTGAACGAACTACTAAGAAAGGAAGTAAGATTCATATGGACTGATAGTCGGGAAGCTTCGTTTAATCAGTTGAAGTCGGCTCTGACTTCTGAACCCGTTTTAGGTCACTTTGATGAGACTACACCAATCTACGTCCATACCGATGCCAGTGGCTATGGCGTCGGTGCTGTTTTAGTACAAATGAAAGATTGGGGTGAGAAACCAATTGCCTATGCATCCCGAACTCTATCTAAAGCAGAGAAAAACTATACCATAACGGAAAAGGAGTGTTTGGCGGTAATTTGGTCAATCAACAAATTTCGACCTTACCTGTTTGGCCGCCTTTTTTCTATCGTGACTGACCATCATTCCTTGTGCTGGCTAGCGAATTTGAAAGACCCTTCTGGACGTCTCTCAAGATGGGCTCTGCGACTTCAGGAGTATGAAGTTACTGTTTGCTATAAAAACGGTCGCAAGTACAAGGACGCCGATTGCCTTTCCAGAAGCCCATTACCTGACCCTTCGGAAGAAACAGAGGAAGATATACCTTCCCTGGCAATATTGAATGATGTTGAAAAGGAACAAAAGCAAGATCCTTTATTAGCAAAGATACTGAAAAACTGTGAAGATCCGAATTTTAAAAGATTTTCCATTATTGATAACATACTTTATAAGAAAAATTAAGATCCCATAGGGCGAACTTGGTTGTTAGTGGTTCCAAAGTCCTTACGATTAGAGGTTCTTAGATCGCTTCATGACTCCCCTACAGCCGGACATCTAGGGTTTGCTAAAACGTATGACAGGATACGCAGAAGATTTTACTGGCCGGGTCTCTTCAGAAGTGTTCGCAATTATGTCGGACATTGCAGGGAATGCCAACGACGTAAGAGCATACCCCAACTACCACCTGGAAATCTTAAACCCATAATTCCGTCCTCAGCTCCCTTCCAGAAAATAGGCGTTGACTTGTTGGGTAGATTCCCCTTGACTAGAGATGGCAACCGTTGGGTGATTGTTTGCACAGATTACCTCACTAAATATGCAATAACGAAAGCCATTCCAACCGGAGGAGCAGTTGAGGTCGCAAGGTTTATATTGAATGAGATCATACTCAAGCATGGAGCTCCTAGAGAAATGATTACAGATAGAGGGCGCTCATTTCAAGCAAAACTCATTAAAGAACTTACCAAAATGTGTCGAATGTCGCAGCACTTTACAACGGCCTATCACCCACAGACAAACGGCCTGACCGAGAGATTCAATAAGACCCTGGGAGACATGTTATCAATGTACTTTGACGTAGAACAAAAGAATTGGGACTCTGTTTTGCCCTTTGTTACTTTCGCTTATAATACGGCAAGACCGGAAACTACAGGCTTTTCACCCTTCTATTTAGTACATGGACGAGAGGCGGAAACAATGCTAGACACTCTGTTACCCTACCAGCCAGGTTACGAAGAAGACGAGTACATAAATCAGCTAATGACAGATGCTGAAGACGCCCGCCAGCTAGCCCGCTTACACACCCTCAGAACTCAGGACATCGATAAAGCACGATAAGATGCGAGACATAAGCCTGTACATTACAACGTTGGTGACCTCGTCTGGATCTTCACACCCGTACGAAAAGTTGGCCTATCAGAGAAGCTTTTAAAAAAAATACTTCGGCCCATATAAAATAACCAAGAAGATCTCGGATGTTAACTACGAAGTAATGATGGTGGACGAATCTCGCAGAAGGAAGAGTTCCAAGGATGTAGTTCATGTGTTACGTATGAAGCCCTACCAAGATCCTGAACAACAGAACAATATCGTTTAAATATCTTTCGGTGTAAATATGTAAATAATAAACATCGGGACGCTGTTCTTCTGGGGAAGGAGGTGATGTCGCGAAATTTGTTTAGAGTGAAATTGCTGGCTCGGCAACCCTGGAGCTGACGTCACTTCCGGTGGAGGTAACCTTTGCAAGGCCGCGTAGCCACGAGACTTATTCTCTTCTCTCCTTGTTTACTATTTAACCTATATATATTTCCTCCATTTTCTTTAGATAAGAGTTGAGAAAGATATCACTCAATTTTCGAGCCTTAATTTAATAATAAAACCTGCTGAAATAGCTCTGTGTACCTCTAATTATTCAATTGCGACAATATTATATTTATTTATCTATTGAAATGGTCAGACAGAGAAGAAAGAATAAAAATTAATGAAACGGGGGCAATAAGAATAAATTGGGAAAATATACATAAATTTAACCTGTTTTAAAATATTATGAAAAGTTACTTATCTTATTTGGTGCTTTAGTTGGAGGGCTGGGGAAAATTTTTTCCACTAATATTTTGAAAGACTACATTTTTGACTAATTTCTCAGAAGCTCTTCCTGAACTCCACTACTGCTATCTGCCTACTCTCTCTCTCTATCTTATCTTATCTTCTTCCTCAAATTTCCCTCCAAGATTTTTATTTCAACAGAGTAAAAAAAAAAATATTTAAAAAATATATATTCCAACTGTTAAAATTAAAGATATAATTATCATTCAAAATATATATTATTTTAATTAACGAATATTATTTGGAAATATTAAAACAAAAATAGCTGATTATTCATTTTTAAAAAAGGAGATTTATTATAATAAATCCTTTCCTTTATAATTATAAAAATGAAATCCAAAATCGATGTTTGTTATCGCGTTGCGCAAAATCTACAGAATAAATCTTTATGAAATTTCGCATGTAGGTAGCTGAAGATTTCGTTTAACATATAGGCTATTCAAAAAACTAAAAAAAGTTCATGTGCTTTTTTTTTAATAAAAAACCAAAAAGCGTTAGTTCCAGCTTTTTACCGCTTGGGCGCAGCACTGGTCGCGACGATAAATGAATTTGATTGGTTAATAATTAACACGTAGTTTGTTTACACGATGAATGTTAGTTTGTTCACACGATGAATGTTTTTAAAAGGTAAGATTATCCAATCGCCGTGAAAGTTTAGAAAGTTATTTATTATACTTCTGGGAAGATTTCTGGTTTGAATTTGATTTGAAATAAATATTCTTTGCAAATTTATTTGCAAATTTTCTACTTTCACTCGCAAGCAGCGCCTCTAGCGGTCCTGGTGAAATTATATTTATAAATTGTAACAATGCATGAAATGTTTTCTAAGTATAATAAATATAATTTGAGAATTTAGTAATATAATATTCCAATGACGTAAAAAATACTTGGCATTTCAATATTAATATATATTTAAAGAAAAAATTGTAACGTTTTTGTGTTAAATGTTAAAATATATTTTTACATTGTTAATTTAATTTGCTGTTGTTTTATAAAAATGATGATGCAACTTTAATTGTTGTTGTAAAAATATCTTTATTTACGGAGCTGCTAACCATAATAAATGATTTTTGATACCCTAATTGTTGTTGTTTATTATCGTTTGTTTATATAAAAAAAAATACATTGTATGTGATGATGATAACAAAAATGAAATTTTTAATTAATATATATAATTCATTGAGAAAAAAGAAATAATTAATTATCAAATTCACAAAAGTTACAATATCTTATTTAAAATAAAATAAATGTTTTCAAAAAATTATGTGTTTTAAAAATATATTCAAACGCATATAACAATATTTATATTTATATACGTTTATAAATCAATATATAGGTAGATTAGATGTTTTCTAGAATCGTTTTAACAAATGTTCGTTAGGCAAACTTTTACTCGGATAAAAACTGTGCGAAGCCGGGTACATTCGCTAAATACAGTTATTTACAAATCTTCGTTTGTGGCAAGATACTATTCCTTCAACTTTAAATTACCGAGTGGACCAATTAATACTGATTTTTTTTCAACTTATCGAGAGTGTAGACAAGTATAGATTCAGTAGGGATTGGATGTTTGCTAGAATCGTTCTAACAAATGTTTGTTAAGCAAACTTTTACTCGGGTAAAAATCGGGCGAAGCCGGGAACATATATATATATCTTATATAAAGAAAAAAGATTTGATGCTTGTATTTAGATTATGTTGAGGTTTATGCCATGGAGTTATTTGCTGGTTCTTTTTAGTACTAAATGGTATTGGTGATGCAGTCGTGGTTAAAATCTTGAAAAGTAAAATAATGAAAATAGTTTTGATATGAGATTGTTTTAATTGAGCTCTAGGATATGCATAAAAAACAATTTGATAAAGGTACTGCCTGGCTTAAGGCGAGTAGAATAAGAAAAACAAAAGCTTATTTACATAATGTACAAAATTTTTGTGCCGGCCAACGGGGAAGAGAAAATATCTTTATTTTACGGGGCTGCTAACCAAAATGAATGATTTTTGAGCCCCGAATGGCAAGAAGAGGTTTCTTGAGAATCCGGGCTAATTGGCCTACAAATAAGGTCTTCTAGCCCTACTATGGCTGCAGAACGCGAGCTGGTGGCAAGGGATCCTAGGATCTGGCAGTGGAGGTGTCATCGCGTGGCCAACGGGGAATTGTTGTTGTTGTTGAGACTAATTGGCCATAAGAGAATGGTCTTCTAGTCCGTCAACTGGCTGCACCAAGCAGACCGATCAAGATGCACCGCGGCGATGAACCAAGCCAGCGGCGAGCCACCAGTGCTGCAACGCAGGTGAGTGTCCCCGGGTAAGGGAGTGAGAGAAGAAGGTGCAAAAGAGCTGAAAGGGGAAAGAAAAATAAAGTAACAATAGTAATAATAATAGTAATTAAATAAATCGAAGAGAGAGAGGAAGGGAAGTTAGAGAGAAAAAAAAATTAATGATAAAAATAATAGAGAAAAGGCGAGAAAAAAAAAAAAAAAATTAAATGTGCATGTGAGACAAATGATGGTCTATGGGGAACAAAAAGAAAATTGTCCTATATCTGGTGGGAGTGCCCAAGATTAAACTATTGAAACTATTGAAAATGAGAGAACCAAAAATAAAAAAAAGGGTAAATTTAAATTAAAATTTAAAAAATTCACGGCGGCCAGCCAATGAAAATGAGCGGCCGTCGAGCCACATGACCCAGCGGTGACGTCGCGCGATTAGTCGACCAATCAGAGAGCGGCGTCCAATTCCGACCAAGCTCTCTAGCTCTTGGGTAACTAGAGACGGCCCTGTCGAAATCCGTCCGCCCAAGAATGGCAGACCAAAGAGTTTGACCTCACACGCACCAAGTGCATGCACGCAGAAACTGGTAACAGTACCAACTCGTGATTAGGAAGAAACAGAGTCAGAGACCTCCTCTGAATCCTCCTCGCGGATCCGTGGTTTCAATCTGTCACTAGCCAGGAGAAAATCAACGCAGGCATGCCAGGTTGATTTACTGTGGATGAAGTCGCGGAGTGATCTTGGCGTATGACCAAGTTCCTTTCCAGCGATAAATAGCAGGCGAGTTCTAAGGGAATCGAGACTGTCACACTCGAGCAAAATATGTTCAAGAGTTTCCTCCGCCCCAGAGTTGCAGTAGGGACAAGTGGGATCGTCAATAAATCCCATTTTGTGGGAAAAGCTGTCTGTCCAAGTGTGTCCGGACAGCAAACCTACAACAGCGTGCACGCTGGGAACAATGAACGCATACTTTTTGTCTAGGAGACTCATTGGAGTGAGGCCAAAGCGGGTGCAGATGGGGCGAGTGGTGGAGCTGAATCTGCTCTGCCAAGCCGCCCACGCCAGTTTGCGCGCTGTGGATTCTAGTTTCGACAGCGGCGCGAGGCGGTAGCAGCTCGGGAGGTCAGATCCAGCGCCAGACTTCGCGAGCGCATCTGCAACGTCGTTGCCGACGATCCCGCTGTGACCTTTGATCCAGCGAATGGAACATCTATTCCCATTGCGGTTCAGTTGTGAAATCAACAGCAGAGCCCTGTTAATCAGGAAGTTGCCAGTCCTGCAGTTAAGGACTGAGTTCACAACCGAAAGATTGTCCAGGAGAACCTCAACAGTGGTATCAATGGGGAGCTCCGAAGCGTTCTCAAGTGCTTTGATCAAACCAAATGCTTCAGCTTGGAAAACTGAACAGTAACGTGACAAAGGATAACAGACACGCAATTCATGAAAGTTGTCATTCACACACACTCTATATAAACCTGCGCCAACTCCATCATTGGTCTTGGAGCCGTCTGTATAGTAGGTGACCTCGGGTGGTAGTTCAGGAATATTGCTGGGAAGGAATAAGAAAGGTGGATAAGGCAGAGGTTGAGGAGATGGGGGAGGTTCAACCGGAAATTCAGCATCCACGTAACCATATTTTTTAAGATACAGTTGCGTTTTGACATCAATTTCCAGGTCAAGAGGGAGAACACGAGATAAGGTGATAAGAGAGGAGTTGTTTGTTGTTCTAAAAGCACGACAAGCTAAGATGAGGAAAAAACGTTGCGTACTTAATAAGAGCTTTCTGGAGCGTTCAAAAAGATTAGGAAACCATACTGGGGAGGCGTAAGCCACCACGGGAATAACAACCTGCAAGTACAGCATTCTCAAGGCTCGGAATCCAAAACCGAAGTTGAAGTTAGCGGCTGCTGACAGGCGCGGTAGCATGCCGCGGACTTTGGAGCAGACCTCAGCAACGTGCTGGTGGAAAGTCAAACGGTTGTCGAACCTCACACCAAGCACCCTGATGGAGTCGCACCATTGAACGACCTGGCCATTGCTGACCAGATCGCGTCGCAGCACCCTAATGCGCCCGAGAGGTTTTTGCACAAACATAGCCTGGCATTTGCTCACACTGAGCTCAAGTTTATGTAATCCACACCAGTCAGAGATCAAATCGATGGCGTGTTGTGCCTTAGACAGTTGACCGTGCCTCAATCCCGAGATCACAACAACCAGGTCGTCTGCGTAGGCCTGTGGAAATACACTATTCTTGTACCCAAGTGTGAGCAATTCATCAAAGACGATATTCCAGAGGAAGGGCCCGAGAACTGAACCTTGTGGACAACCTTTGGAAACGCGTCTAGTGACAGTGCATCCATTTACAGACAGTCTGACAGAGCGATGGGCCAAGAACGAGCGAATTAAATCGTGAACGTTCTTGGGACAGTCGCTTTTACGCAGGGCCCGCAATATACTGGAGTGCAGTACATTATCAAAGGCACCTTTGACATCAAAAGAGAGAAGAATAGCAGATTTAAATAAGTCTAGCGACCGGGAGAGGGTATTTTTTAATTTTAAGAGTGCGGCAATGGTTGATTTACAGGGTCTGAAACCGAACTGGTTTGGCTGGGCTTTACACATTCTCTCAGCCCTCCACGACAGCCTAGCCAGGATTAGACGCTCGAGAATTTTACCTAGACTAGGCAGCATCGTGATAGGCCTGTGAGACGCGAGAAAGTCCTCACCACCTTTTTTGGGGATCAAAATTACATCGCCCAATTTCCAGGGAGCTGGAAAGTGGCCAGTCACAAGACACCTGTTAAAAAATTTCAGAAAAAAACGGCCGGAATTTTTTAATTAACTTAACACAAAGAACAGGTGGCATGCCATCACTGCCTGGGGAAGAAGATAAGCGAACCTTATCCGCGGCCAGCTGCAACTCGACTTCTGAGAACGGGGGATCGTTATCAGAAATTGACTGCAAGGCTCTATGTAAATTACTATGCCCTAACATGGAATCGGGCGGGACTCGGCCGAAATAGTGCTGTAATACGTGATCTAAGGTGTCCCGCTGACTGTCAGTGAAGCCGGCGCCTACCGAGAGGGAGGAGAGAGGTTTTTTCTTGTGCTTTCCTCTGATGAATTGGTAAATACCGCCCCAAGGGTTGACTTCGCACTGCGAGCAGAGTCTTTTCCACTCCTCCTGCTTAGCTTTTCTGATCGTAGCACGAAATCTGTTATAAAGCTTTTTGTGAAAGACTTTTAACACACCTCTGACGGCTCCGCGGGCGCGTCTCCACGCACGCTCGGCCTTCAAAGTAGCCCTTTGGAGCGGATTAAACTCCGGTTTCCACCAAGATGCATTTTTTATTTTGCCAGGTTTATTTGGCTTGGAAGGAATGGTCTGTATGCATGAATGAAACACTTCGTCACTAAGTAATGTAATAACATTATCAAGTTGAAGTGTGTCACTCACGCTATCTAACAAAAACTCTAGATGAAAAATTTTTTTTTTAAGTGTGAAAAAAAAAATTCCCAGTCGGCGCGGCCAAAGCTGAAGTTTACTTCGCTAAAGCTATTAAGAATGACTTTATTATTATTGCTATTGGATGGGGGATCGAAATTGATGCTAAAAACGAGGCGTTTATGATCAGATAAAGCCTGGTTGATCGCGTTCCAATCAGCGATCCTGTCAACGAGGCCAGCAGAACAGCAGGTCACATCAATGGAAGAGGACGAGTTACGTTCCTCCCACGTGATTGTACCGTGCTCGTTGACCACATGGAGCAGGTTGGCATCAAGGAAATTCTCAACAGTTTCTCTTTTAGTGCAGGTTGAGCTAAGCAACCGCGCTTTATCTGACCATCTGTAAGATTCAATATTTAAATCGCCGCAGAAAATTACCTCGTGATAATTAATAGATTTGAGAGAGATGTCTATCCTATCTAAAAGATCGCTAACACAACATGATGGCGAAAGATACACAGAACATAGGAGGATGGACAGGTTGTTGACTTCACACAGGACAAACACAGAGTTCACACAGGACAAATGGGACAAATGGATGAACTTCAGGCTCGGATTTGCCATTATCACCGCAGCTCCCAGTTTGTTTGTATCAATAGAACCATGGCAGATTCTGTCAGAGGGAACTGGAATGGATGGTAAACTGCCCTTTGCAACTGGGAGCTCTTGTAATAATAGCACATCCGTGTTTTCGTTGAAACATTCATTCCACAAGGAGGACAGACAATAAGGTGAGCGTCTTACATTTGCTTGAACACACTTGAGCACGTTCATCGCACCATTGAACTAATAAATTGCTCCTGGGCGTCCCGCATGTGCTTGCACGCCATTGAGTTAGCGCTGTGCTTGCCACCGCATCTGTGGCATTTCAGAGCGGCCTTGTTGTCACAGGCCTCGGTCAGATGTGCCCCAGAGCAGTAGCCGCATTTGGCCGCCTTGGTACACTTCTTTCCGTTTTTGTGGGTCCTGTGTTCCAGGTTGCCGCAGACACCGCAGGGAAAGACGCGCTTAGCCCTTGCGAGTCTCAGGGAAAGGTAATCTAGAGTGAGCCTACCGCGCCCGAGCAGGGCAGTCTCAATTACCTTATTCACCTCAATTATCGCGGTGGAGGAGGAACCCTCTTTTCTAATCAGTTTTACCATCCTGATGTCGTCAGCGCTTTTCAGCAGCTTTTCGACAGCGGGATGGCATCTGATGTCAGCCACAAGCTGCTCCTCGGTTTTCTCTCCAGGAATACCAAAGATCGCAAGCCTGGGCTTGAATGTTGGGTTCGTTTGGACTTTAAGGCCGCCAATATTGGCGGTCTTGACGTTGTCAACAAACCTCTTTTTTTCAGAGGGATTTGTGAAGTGGAGGACCAGTTTTTTGTCCCCACCAGTCACTGCGGCGACATCCAGGTTTTTCAAACTGGGAGTCTGAGCGATCTTCGCCCTTAGCTCCTTAACAGAGAGAACATCAGAGTCCAACTTTACATGGTTGGCACTGTTACGCAGAGTCTGCGCGTAGCTGGGCCGAGAAGGCTTGGTCAGCTTAGCACTGACATTGACTGGCGGCGTGGTTTTCGTCACAGAGGGTGCTATGAGAGTTGACTTGGCAGCGGGTTTTGCTGCAGGAGCGGAGATAGCCGCGGGAGCGGGAATAGCAGCGGTAGCAGCCTTGAGCTTATTTTCATAATCCTCACGGAGTTTCTCCGTATAAAGGTCACAGGCTTTGAGTTTTTTGGAAAGGACCCCAAAGGCGGACTTTTGCAGTTCTGCAAGGATACCATTGACATTTCTGTAAATGGTACAGAGAGGAGCTGTGTCTTGACCTACTTTTGAGGCCGAATCTATTTCCACAAGAACCATGTTGGCGCAATTAGTGAAGCACTTATTTATCTCTTCCCACCCTTCCCTAAATGCCTGGTTGGTATCAAGTGGCCCTATTGGAGTAGGAGAAGAAGGAGAAACCCGGGGAAACTCACCATTTGGGATTGGTTCCGTGGTCACAAGCTCGGCCCCAGTGCCAGGAGGGTCCGTCGATCGAGCGTCGCTTTTTTTAAGTTTAGCTGCGTCACTGCATCCAGCCAGAGGAGGGTCCATATTGCCCGAGGGAGGATCCGGGGAGCCTCGCGCGTAAGCATGGTCGTCAAAGGAGGCCATCTTGATTTAAAAAAAAAATTTTCTCTATTTGGAAAAAAAAAAAATTAATTAATCAATTTCAAGAAGGAACTAATGTCATCGTTATTTCATCTCAATTTGCAGGTGTTACATTCGAGCACAGCTCGCGAGTCACCTTGTCCATATTATTTACACATGGCGAGTTGTGATGCTGGAGTGGCCCCCCGAACCTTACAGGAGGGCAGTTGTTGGGTGTTTGGCTGTCAGCTAGCCATTGGGTCCAGGTCGTCGGATTCGGTGGCTGAGGTCACCTTGGTTTTGAACAATTTCTTGTATAGTTGGATTTGAGGATTTTTGAAATTGCGAGAATAGTCTTGTCGCAGAGTCTTGATAAATTCTTCTATATTAGGCTGGTTGAGATCTTCTTTGAGAATTTTGTTTGAAAGATTGAATGGGGCTCCTATAGTGGTTCGTAAGCAAATCCTCATGAAGGCATCTATTCTTTTTTATCCGTAGGTGTGATATATTTGCCCCAGACTGGTAGTGCGTACGTGATGATGGGTAGAATGCAGGTTTTGTACAACGTGAATTTATGCTTTGTTGTTAAATTACTTTTAAAATTAAGCAGGCTTGATAGAGATATTTTGGCTATCTTTGCCTTTCTTATGGTGTTTTGGACATGTAGGTTAAATTTTAATTTCGAATCCAAAGTGACACCAAGATACTTGGCATGGTCGGCCCAACTAATAGTGCTTGAGTTTACTGTCAAGTTGGTTTGTGGCTTGAATTTTTTGTTATCTCTTGGGGGAAAAACTATTGCTTGAGTCTTAGTTGGGTTAATGTCTAGTTTCCACTCATCGCACCATTTGATTATGTCATTTAGGTAATTCTGAAGCTGAGTAACCAATAGGTTGACTGATTTGGAGTTGAATAAAATTGCTGTGTCATCTGCGAAGAGCTTAAGTTTACATTTAGAGTGCAGTGGGATGTCATTAATGTAAATATTGAAAAGGTAGGGTCCGAGGATAGAGCCTTGAGGTACTCCAGTCTGGATTGGCTTTGGTTCAGTTATAAAATTTCCTTGCTTGACTGAAAATGTCCTGCCCTGTAGATAATTCTGCATAAAATTGATAATGTCACTTGGAAACTGGTGTTTTGTGAGTTTCTTTATAAGGCCATTATGCCAAACTTTATCAAATGCTTTCGCAAAATCTAGAAAGACAGCACCTACCACTTCCTTGTGGGATCTTCTTATCTGGATATAGTCCAGAACTGCAATGAGTTGGTGAGTTGTTGAGTGCCCCCTTCTAAATCCGAATTGCTGCGGGATGATGAAGTTAGAGTTGTCCAAGTACATCTGAAGTCTACGTAGAATAATTCTTTCGTAAATTTTGCCGATGGTGGAGAGGAGGCTGATAGGTCTTAGATCTTCAGGGGATTTAGCGGATTTTTTTGGAATTGGAATTATGATAGCATGCTTCCAGACTTTGGGGTAGTAACACAAGTGCAGTGCGGCGTTGAATACTCCAGCTAGAAATACAATCCATTTGATCGGAAGATTCTTGGCCATTTGCGGAGTGATATTGTCATGACCAGGAGCTTTGTGGTTAGCTAAGTATTTAATTACTTCTTTGACTTCATTTGGTGTCGTCATTGTGAGCATTGTTTCTTGTTGGTGATTATAAGTTATATTTGGTTGGTCTTCTTCTTTTTCCTTGGAGAACTGGTTGGAGAAGTGTTCTGCAAGTTCATTTCCGATTTCTTTGTCGGTCAATAAGGTTTTGCCGTTCGTTACTAAACTTGAGATCCTTTCCGTTTTTTTCCTGATGGGTTTTGTGTTTCTCCAGAAGTCCTTTGGGCTTGATTCAATCTTGCGTATGAATTGATTCCAGTTCTCGGTGGAGTCGGATTTGAGGGCTTTGTTAACTTTTCCCTGTAGGTTTAAATAAATGGCTCTATGGGCTGGATCCCAGGTTGCTTGCCATCTCTTACGAGCTTTATTCTTTTCTTTTATCAAGGCCTTGGTCGAGGGGTTCTGTTTTGATGAAGAGGATGATATAACTGTGTTTTTTGAGTAGCTGTTGTAGATTTTATCATTTAGTATGGTCACTGCTGAGTCAATATTGGCTTCCGTTTTCAAGGGTACTCTAGGAGGCGTACTGGAAATTAAGTCTTGTTGGAAGTGTACCCAGTTAGTGAGTCGGCAAGCCCTAGTCGTGAATTCATCCTTCGGGCAGGTCAGCTCTAGGATTACTGGGAGGTGATCTGAAGATAAGGCATCCAGGGTCTTAATCCTCGAAGCCCAGGGAATGTTTCTAAGAATTGCGATGTCTAAAAAGTCGGGATTTCCCAAAGGACTGTAGTGCGTGGGTGAAGAAGGTGCGACAATGTCCAGGTTTTCTTTTTCGGAAAAATTATGCAGCACGGTTCCACTATTATTGGAGGTTCTTGAGCCCCAAAGAGGATGCTTGGAGTTCCAGTCTCCTGCAGCGATTACTGATTGATTATTCTATAACAAGAGATTCAGATCTTCCTCCTGGAGTGGTAGATCGGGTTTCTTATAGATTGACGATATCTGCACTACTGCCCTTCCATCTGGTTTCATTAGAATTGTGGTGTTTTCCATGTTAGATGTTTGAATCAGCACTTTTTTATATTTAAGATAGTTTTTTAGAATTATTGCCGTTCCACCGCCCCTTCCAACGATTCTATCGTCTCTTATTGTCTGATAGTTTCTGAGTTTGAGGTCGACAGATGGTTTTAAGTGAGTTTCACTGAGCAGTGCCATGTCTATTGAGTTTTCTTCTAAAAACTGTAGGAATTCTTCTTTTTTGAGTTTGATTCCGTTGCAATTCCAGAAAACGATTTTTAAAGGTAATTTGCCTTTCATTGTAGGTAAGTTTTGATAATTTCTAATAACTTTTCGCACAGTTCCCTGGTGTCAGAACGAGTAGTTTTCTTTTTTGTAGTTTCCGCGTAACTTGCCTTTTGTTTTTCAACAGTTGCTTCTTCTGTTTTAGTGGAGCTTGCTTGAGGTATGGTGTTAGGGAAGTTTTGTCTGGGAGGCTTTAGCTGCTGTTGTTGTGGCTTCGGAAAATTTGGGCATCCGCGGTAATTGGCTGTGTGCGCCTCTCCACAGTTAGCGCACTTTGGTGGGAGCTGTTTCGACTTTCTTGGACAATCCTTCGAATGATGTTCTTCAGCACACTTGACGCATTTGGGCTTCAAAAAGCAGTTTAGCTGGCCATGCCCAAAACCCTGGCAGTTAAAGCATTGGGTCACTCGTTTTGTAGTCCTGAATGATTCCACGACTATTTTTTGGTAAAGTATTTCAGTTATTCCATAGATTCGTTTATTGTGTTCATTTTTCGGTAGCTCTACTAGGACTATATTCATCGGTATTTTGGTCGATTGTCTATGGAGTCTTTTGACAATGACCTCAGTGAAGCCCATTGAGACCAGTTCAGTTACGACGTCTTCTTCTTTGAAGGCTGTTGTTACCCCCTTCAATACCACTTTCAGTGGTTTTTCCTCCTGTAGTCTGTAGGAATATCCTCCATTATTTTTCTGTACATACTCCCTGATTTTTTTGAAGTCGCCTATGTTTTTCGATTTAATTATGTGCTTTTTGCCAGAAATCGTGACTTGGAATGGTTCCGTGCACAAGCCTTTTAGTTCTTGGCAAAGAAGCTTCCAATCTGCTACATTTTCTGCAATAACAGGAGGAATTCTCGGTTTTTTCACGTTAGTGACTGTGGTCCATGGGCCATCGTTGTCGTTATTTTCTTCATCGTCTTGCGGTGGGTAAGCTACGTTCATTTGTTGAGAAATTTCAGTGGCGGGACTTTGTTCGTCGATGTCCATTCTAGGCGTCTTCAGATTACGCTCGCTCCTAGTTGGCGATCTTGAGTCATCCGATTGGGAGCCGCGAGTTCTCTTCTTTGATTGAACCGTTTCCTCAAGTTTATACTCGATTCCACATTTGTCTAGGATCTTCGTTATTAAGGAGGCTTCGATTATGCATAGTTTCTCGCCGGTTGGTCCGATCGTCGATTTAATTACAATCGGTGGCATATTATTCTCTACTTTAAGTAGCCTCCTCTGAAAATTTATTTACAAGTAATGTTTATTTCCTTATCTAAAAAATTATTTACATGTCATCGTTTTTATTTATTTATTTCGTCTCAATTTACAGGTGTTACATTCGAGCACAGCTCGCGAGTCACCTTGTCCTGGCTATTTACACATGGCGAGTTGGTGGAGTAGAAGTGGTCCCCCTAGGCCTTGCAGGAGGGCAGCTGTTGGGCGATGAGCTCTTGACTAAGTGTCAGGGCCGGGTCGTCGGAATCGGGGAATCAGATATTAAGCTGATAAGAACAGATTTAAAAAACTTTATTGAAGGCATCTTAAAAAATTACAAGAGATAGTCGAAGAGCCTTCACTAGAAAATGCTTGCCAATGCTAGTTTGGTACAGTAGAATGGTCAAGCAGTCTAGGCTTTGGGGTACAGGGTTCCTGGCCAAGGGGGGAGGGTCCACTTTCTCAAAAAGGGCCAGGGCGGGGTCCTCCACTTTCGGTGCCTGGGGACTGCGGCTTCTCTCCGTTGCTCCTTCCGGTCTCTGGTCCGTCTCCTTTCCTGGGTCCAAAAGTATTTACAGTGGTGGTCCTCAGGGACAGGGGAGTCTTGGGTTCGGTTCCGGTAGGGTGGCGATCCTCCTAGACCTGTTTGGTCAATAGGTCTGCAGGTACTTGGAGAAGAGCCCCCGGGATCATGAACGAGGCGTCCTGGTTCACTTCCAGCAGGAGCTGGTGCCTCGCTCTTGTCTCCTAGGGGGTCGGTTGGGGCAGGGGGCTCTTGAGACCGGGATCCTTGGGGTGGAGTTCCATCTAGTATCTTCTGGTCCTCATAAATATAGGTACTCAAAGGGGGGCCCCCGGGATCATGAATGAGGACACCTGGGATAGTTCTAGGTGTAGCTGGTGCCTCATTCTTTTCAATTGGGGGGCCTGGTGGGGAAGCAGGGTCTTGAAACTGGTTCCCGCAGAGTGGGGCTCCATTTCGTGCTTGCTGGTCCTCTGGGTAAGTGGTCCCTGAAGAGGGGCCGCCAGGATCATGAATGAGGACACCCAATGTACTTATAGGTGCAGCTGGTGCCTCGCTCCCGTTCTCCAGGGGGCCAGTAGGGGCAGGGTCCCTGGTGGTCGTTTCTGGTGTGGCATCTTGTGCCACTGGGAGAGGTGTCTCTCTTTCCAGCTTGGAGCTTGGTTCTTGAGGGGCCTGAACTTCAGGATCAGGTGAAGACGGTGGCGCGTTGTCCTCCTCTTCCAACTCCAGATAGTCGTCTTCATCTAGGAGCAAATCTGGAAGTTCTGAGGTGAAGGCGTCTGCTTGGTGCTTTGGTGGCATGATTGGAGGATATTCGCAAGGTGAATCATAAAGATTCAGCGGTTTTGAAGATCTTGCAAAGTTCGAGTTCCAAGTTGGGAGGTCACTTTCCAGAGGTATTTGAGACCTTGGTTGCCGATTGCCTGGAGGGATATAATATGATGAAGATCCATAAGGGCGTGAGGTGGGGTTGGCAAACTCTGGAAGGCCCGAGAGAATATTGTCTAGAGACGACGTGTTTAATGGTTTTGCGACTTTGGTCCATGGCAATGCATCATATTCGAGGTCACTTTTCAGAGGTATTTGACCCCTTGGTTGTCGATTGACTGGAGGGATATAATATGATGAAGATCCATAAGGGTGTGAGGTGGGGTTGGCAATCATGGAGAAATAATTAGTTTGCGGGAACATTGCACCACTTTGAGAGCGGTCGTCTTTCAAACAAATTAGTTTCTACTTGATGTAGGGAAAGTTTCAAAAGAGTTTCAATTAAATAGTATATAGAAATCGCTTGCTCAAGGCCTTGTTCAACTTTCAGGTATTTCGAAATTCGAGTTTTACACTTGAGGTTCAATATTCAAAAGGAATTTGCAGATTGTAAGGCTTCCAGTAAATAAAATTGAAGTGTAAAGGGCCTCCAGAATTTCAAGCTAGAAAAGTTGGATTCAAATGCCACAAATTTGCGAAAAATAAAAATATTTGAACAGCGCTCGAGTATATGTACAAATATCGAAACGTGAACAAATAATATATATATACCAGCGAGTAGGAATATTGCAAGAACTTAGCTTAATGCTGAGCAGAAAAGCAATATGCAAGAGAATAAAGTAATTTTGTAGTGTTTAACTACAAAATAGATGAGAATAATATATATATATATATATATGTAAGTAAACAAGAGAGAGAAATATTGCAAGAACTTAGCTAGATAATAGTAACATATATATATATATTAATATATATATATATATGCAAGTAAACAAGAGTGAGAAAGAAAAAAGAAAAAAAAATGCAGATGTATGTTTATAAAAGATGTTTAACACAACTTATATAAACACAAATATGCAGAAGACATAGAATATGCTAACCAGAGTGACAGCACTAAGGTAAGCTAAGTAGTAAAATATGCAAGAAAGTAAAGTAATTTTGTAGTGGTTAACTACAAAATAAATAATAGTAATATCTATATATATATTAATATATATATATATGCAAATAAACAAGAGTGAAAAGAAAAAATAAATAAATGAAAGAAAA